GGTTTCGGACGAGGCGGTGGCGGCGGATTCAGTCGAGGAGGAGGAGGCGGTGGAGGCAAATGGTGATAGAGGACAGACGAAATGATTTCATTGTGTTTTCAGGCCTCCAGAGTATACCTAGATTTAAGTTAATAGAGTGTATGTAACGTTATTGCAAGTAATTTTGTATACAAATTATGTCTAATTTTTATTTTTTATTGTAAATTAAATTTTAGAAATAATTAAATTTATTTACATATAACAAAAACAAAATTACGCCTCCTCGAATCTGATGTGCTTCCCCAATTCTTTCTCAGCCTTTTTCAGCAACTTGTCGCGACCTCTCTGCTTCTTCGCAGTATCCTTCTTGAATTTACTCTCCCTGCTGCTGAGAATCTTCTCCCAGTAGATCTTCTCCTCGTCGCCTTCCAAAAGGCTCGTTTCACCCGTCGAAAAACTGCTGCAGAATTGCTTCGCGTTTTCATTGGTCAAAAACCTGAGGTAGGCTGTGTCGTTGTTCAGAGTCGTAGGTATATCAACGAATTGAATATCGGAACAACCACTTTTCAAATCATTCTGTAAAAATAATACAATAAAATCCCAAATTTACTGAAAATAAAGTTATTTGTGAAATACCTTTGCCTTCTTTGTATCATTGCATGATTCGCTAAACTTCAATTGTACTATGCATCCTGGTACAAACTGCAGTTTCTTAGTTTCCTCTTCAACCTCTTGTTGTTTAACTTCATTATTGTCATGGTTATTGGCTTTGTTATTGAATCGTCTTTTATTCAAATGCTGTTTGAGTTGCTTCATCTTATCTCTTTGCATATTTAAATAACGATTTCTCATTTTTTTCCACTCCATTCTATAATCAACAAAAAATATTGTAACGAATATAAAATTACGATTTACAAGACAATATTACATACTTTGGTAGCACCTGTAAGCCTAATTCTTTAAACTGCGCCTTCAGCTTCTTCAATTTCCTTTTTTTCTTCTTACTCTCGTCCTCTGCATCAGATTCATCAGCTTTAAATTTCTTGCTCTCCTTCTCAACATTATTAGTATCATCATCATTCTCAAGTTTCCTCTTCTTTTCATTATCACTTTTCACTTCTTCCTCCATCATTTGCTCACATTCTGCTGGCGTTTTGTAGTGAACAGTCTCTTTATCACCATTAACAAATGTTGAGATGCTGCACAAATCTTCTGGAGCCACCTGAGAAGATATCTTGCAATCAATGCTCTCAAAAAATTCAACACATTTTTGTGAACTATTTGCATTATCAAACTCAACAAAGGCAAAACCTTTGTTCAATTTGTTGTGGCTGTATTTTGGTATGGAAACATAAGAGACTTTACCAAAATCTGAAAACAAATTTACAAGCCAATCATGTGTGACATCAGATTGTACATTTTCCACATACAGAGTACAATCATCCACATCAACTTTTTTAACAATTGCAGTGACTCTTTTCACTTTTGTTTTGTCTTCAGATAGTTGGAGCAGTTCAGAATTCTTTAGAGCAGTAGCAATTTTTTCTACAGTTGTTGTAAGCTTTAGGATCTTATTGAATTTCAAAAAAACTTCCAAATCAACAACTAAAAAAAATTAATAGATAAATCAAATTTATATGCCATTACTCTTCATTTATGATACTTACATTCATTTTGGTTGATCAATTGCATTAAAAACCTATCTTTGCTTAGGTTAGAATCGCTGAAGTAAAATTCCATTTGTTTTAGGATAGAATTGTACAGTTGCTTTTTTCGTTGTCGACCAACTTTGTGTCCTTCCTTTACTGATGGATCTGTACCCATTTTATTTCTATTGAACTTATCTGAATTGTATTGAACTGTTTCACTTAAACTCTTGAAAACAACCTCAAAAAAATCTTTCAAATCTTCTAACAAGAAATGTAACCAACCTTACGAAACAATAATACTGTAAATTCATGTTGGCAATATCCAATTAGAATTGGATGATATTGAAAAGGGTTGTCAGGAGTTGAATAATTATTTTAGTTTATATTAAATTTTTAGAATTAAAACTGTTAGCATGTCTTCACCGGCCCCAAAATCCCCAGAGCAAAGTGAGAAGAGCAAGAAATATGATCGTCAGTTGAGGTTAGTTGTGAATATACAGTTATTGCAATTGAGCTGAATCTTTAATTGTTCATACAGATTATGGGGTGATCATGGACAGAGGTTTCTTGAGAACTCCAAGGTTTGCTTGATAAATGCCACAGCCTTAGGTACAGAAATCTTGAAGAGCTTAGTGTTGCCAGGTATTGGATCATTCACAATCATTGATGGTGAAAAGGTAACAGAGGAAGACATTGGATCAAAGTAATTTGTTTTCTCTATGTCATTGAAGAGTTAAGATAATTTCAGTTGAATTGCAGCTTCTTCTTGGATAATGACAGTTTAGGGAATTCCAGAGCTCAAGCTGCAACAATGTGCTTGCTGGAATTGAATCCAGATGTTCGAGGAGATTACATTGATGAATTCCCTGAAAATGTGATGAAGCAAAATCAAGATTTCTTAAAGGGTTTTTCTGTGGTCATTGCTACAGCTCTACCAGAAAAGTAATGATTATATTTGAAAATGTTTTCACTTACTGATTATTAAGTTATTTAGATTTTTAATTCCATTGTCTAAACAATTGTGGGATGCTGGCATACCTCTGTTTTCTTGCAAGAGTATAGGATTATTGGGTTACGCGCGTCTTCAAGTGAATGAACACACAGTAATTGAAGTCCACCCAGATAACGATAATCCGGATTTGCGTTTGGATGAGCCGTGGCCGGCGCTGAAAGAGCACTTGGAAAGCTTCGATATTTCAAAGTTGGATAAGAAAGAGAGGAGTCACGTGCCAGCTTTAATAATCTTATACTATTTTATGCAGAAGTTCAGAAATTTACATGATGGTAAATGCTAAATTACTAATTTAATTTAGTCAAATTAAGAATATTTTGTATAGGTGCGCTGCCTACAAATAGGGCGGAGAAAGATCAGCTTAGGAATATGATTCGTGCTTGTGGCAATGAAGAAGGACTTTTGGAAGAGAACTTTGAAGAAGCTATACATTACGTTAACACGTGCTTGTCCCATTCGAAAATCTCTTCGCAGGTGCAAAGTATTTTAGATGATCCTAAATGTCTCAATTTAAACCAAGACGTAAGTTTTAAATTCTTAAAAAAATGATGTTTTTATTTATTTTAATGTTTGTAGAGTGCTCCGTTTTGGGTGATGGTTTCAGCTTTAAGAGAATTGGTGCAAACTGAAGGCTCTTTGCCGGTGAAAGGAAGTCTACCGGATATGGCAGCAGATACCAACAGTTACATAACTCTTCAGCAGATCTATCAAAAGAGATTCAACGAGCAAGTCGAGACTGTTCAACGCAGAGTTTCTGAAATCTTGAGGAATGTGAACCAATCTCCGGATGCGATAACCGAGGATGAAATTAAATTGTTCTGCAAACATGCGAACGAGTTGTATATTGTTAGAGGGACGTGCATTGCCGACGAATACCAGTCGAGCACGTTGGATATAAGCATGTATCTGGATGATCCCGATAGTTTGATGATGTACTATGTGATCTTGAGGGGTCTTGATAGATTTCTGAGCGAGTTTAACGCTTATCCAGGACAATTCGATGATCAAGTTGAACCTGATGTTGTCAAGTTGAAGTCTACCATCGGAAAATTGCTCGCCGAGTGGGGCTGCGGTCAAGTGTTGAGAGACGAACGCGTCCATGAGGTGTGCAGGTATGGAGGAGCTGAAATGCATTCCATATCAGCAATTTTAGGTGGTTGCGTTGCGCACGAAGTAATCAAGTTGATCACACATCAGTATAAACCGCTCAACAACACATTCATCTTCGATGCCATCACTTCGAATTCTGTTACATATAGATTGTAAGAAGCAAACTACATATAAGTTGTAAATTTTGATTTCTTTCATTTTGTTCTTTTTTTTCCATTAATTTATTTATAATCTTAATAAAAATACATATTCCAAATATTTTGTTCTTTCTTCTATCATTATTTGAATTTGATCTTAAACAGATTTCTATTGATTTTAATGATCAATAGAAATATCAAGTAAGATTATGAAACACAAAATAGACATATCATTTTCAAAATATATACTGAAAGTATACAATTAATAAAATGTTGAAACAGTTAATTACAAACTTTACTAATGAAAGTAGAACTAAAAAGTAGAAATAGAGAAACTGCAAATATTTTTGATTTTATGATTGCACCACTAGATGAGGCTGTAATCTAAATTTAAGTCAAGAAGCGAACCATAGCGGTTTTTCACGATTTCGAACAGTTTAAAATATTTAAATTTAAAATATTCTTGTTTTAATAAAAGTATTCAATTTTATTATTATTTTAATTTCGATTTCATTTCTTAGAATTTAAATCTACTGAATCTGTGTATTAAAGATACAGTGAAACCTCGCTTAACGAGTACTTCTCATAACGAGCAAAATGAATTGTACGAAAAATATCTCGCTTAACGAGCGACGTTTCGCATAACGAGTGACGATGAGAAGAGAAGTCCCGGATTGCGCGTCTGCTGAATCATTTTTAAAACTTGTCTACACATATTATGTGTATTTTTGAATATGTTTCGCTATACGAGTATTTCACTATACGAGTCAAAATGTGTAAATTTTGGAATGGATTAAAGCAAGGTTCCACTGTACTTGAATTATATCAATAAAATTGAATTGGATTCTAAATGTATATTACTTGCAACTCGAAATAATATCACATTATGAGAACGTACGAGTGTTTACTCGCTTTAAGTACTTTGATATGCATGAATACTAAATTCAATTACAGAAACAAAAAGCTATCACTCAAAACAAACTGTTTTCTGGGAACACAGATAAGATATCATTATTCATGTTACTGCCAACAAAGTACTAAATGTATGCATTTTTTTTGGCAATTATTATTATTACAAACTATACTTAGAATTATAAAATACATATGTAACAATTTAAATAATTGAAAGCATAAATACATGTTCAATACGGTACAATTCTGCTTCAAATTTAGATAAAATTAAAATCGAATAGGATTTTCTACCTGCTTCTTTTATGTAAATATATTAAAATTTATTATGAAAACTGAATGTATATTGAATTTGGAATAATATGAAGAATCAAAAGGACGTAAGAAATGCATGTGATGTAGGGTGACAGTTGAAAGAAGACCCTTTTCCCAAAAATTCAATTACGATATGCATTATATATGTAGATTCGGTTTCTACTTGTTTTCACTTGATGCTATGAAATATGCTTGAATGAATGGAAGTGCTTATCGAGTCGATCGAACTAAAAATAATGAAAATTGGATGCACGCTCCTTCGAACTCGTTGATACAAATCAGGATTTGATGATAATGTGATTGATGCGATGACAAATGAAATTGGTCTTCTATTAATAGGACATAATTTGATCCAAAAATATAAAACTAAACAAAACAAAAGGGTGTTAGATAGGAGCGATTGGAAACATGTAGTTTTTTTTTATTGAAGCAAATCTATTTTTGAACTAAATAGATAAAGCCACTTGAAAACATAATGACTTTCAAATGGTCTTTGATAGAGGGTTTCTATAAAATGCAATTCAAATCGTCGGAATGCTCAATTTTGTTGTGTGACTCCAACTGGAACCAGGTAAGTGTTTCATAGATAAACCAATTAAATCTTGTGTTAACAAATCGTTCGTGCTGTTTGGTTTCTTTTAGCAGCAAAATGAAAGCAATCCTTGCGACCTGTTTGGTCCTGGCCGTCGCCGTCTTCGGCGAGAAAGTCAGGTACGATGGCTTCCAAGTTTACGAACTGATCCCGGTCAACGAGCAGCAAGTCAGCGCTTTGAAGTCCATGGAGGAATTGAACGGTGGATACAGCTTCTGGATCGGTGCAAGCACCGTCGGAAAGGCCGTCCACGTTATGGTCCCACCTCACCTCAAGTTGAACTTCGAAGATTCCATGAAGCTCCTCAACTTGAACCACAGCATCTACATGGAGAACGTACAAGAAAAGATTGAATCTTCCAGCGTGAGGACTCACTACAAATCTTTCGGTTGGACCCAATACCACACCCTTGAAGAGGTAATTTTGTGTTATTTAGTTGAAATGAGGATTGTATTTTGATAATGACGCTGTTTGTAGATCTACGATTTCTTGAGGGATTTGGAGAGCCGTTTCCCCGACAACGTTAAGGTTGTTAAGGGTGGTGAATCCTACGAAGGTCGTGACATCCTCGGTGTCCACGTCTCCTTCAACAAGGCCAACGAGAACAACGCCATCTTCATCGAGGGCGGAATCCACGCTCGCGAATGGATCGGACCTGCCACCGTCACCTACATGTTAAACGAATTCATGACCAGCACCGACTCCAGGGTTCGCAACATCGCCGAAAGCCACGACTGGTACATCTTCCCGAGCGTCAACCCAGACGGTTACGTTTACACCCACGCCAGGGATCGCATGTGGCGCAAGACCCGTCAACCTTACGGTTTCTGCGTCGGTGCCGATCCCAACAGGAACTGGGGCTTCCACTGGATGGAGGGTGGCGCCAGCAACAACCCCTGCTTGGAGACCTTCGCCGGATCCAAGGCTTTCTCCGAGCCAGAGACCAAATCCTTGGCCGATTACATCGAATCCATCAACAAGAAGTTGGTCGGTTACATCGCCTTCCATTCCTACTCCCAACTCCTTCTGATCCCGTACGGACACACCTCTCAACATCTTGAGAACTACGATGAGCTTTACCGCATCGGACTTAAGGGCGCCAAAGCTCTTGAGAAGCACTACGGAACCAAGTACACCGTCGGAAACATCGTCGAGACCATCTACATTGCCAGCGGCGGTTCCATGGATTGGGTCAAGGGTGAATTCGGCACTCGCATCACCTACACCTACGAGCTGAGAGATACTGGACGTCACGGATTCTTGTTGCCAGCTGAACAGATCATCCCAACCGGTGAAGAAACTTTGGACTCTTTGGTCACCATGCTTGAGGAATACCAAAAGTAAACACTCAACTCCTTGTACATAATTAATAAAAAAAAAAACTAAATAAATACACAATGTTATAAACAAAATCAATAATTTTCAAATACCTTCAATTCTTCAACTACATAAATTAACAAAATCATTCTATTTGAAAATATAATCAAATTTAACTGTTTGGATTGAAATCCAATTAAAACATTATTTTATAGAAATATCATTAATTTATTACAAATCAACATAATCCCACAGAAAAATAAAACTAATTTAATTCAGATTTCGATTGTGATAAGTAACAGACATTTAAATGCAATTATTCTTTAATTAATAAATTAATTATATTTTAGACTTTGAACTTAAATTTTGAGACAACACATTGACAAAGATTTTAAAAATACCAATTAGTTAACCCACATTTAATCAATTTCTCTGTTAATTACAATTAATTGAAAATGAGATATAAGATTAAAATTGAATTATCATTACATTATTACAACACAATATTATACTTAAGTGTTTAAAATATTGTTACTGATAAATAAATAATATATACGATGTTCAATTGCTTTACAATTATTGTTTGATTGACAGAAAACAAAGAAATGATGATTTAAAGAGATTATAAGTAAACATCCAGAATGTTTCAATATATTCCTTGAAAAGTTGATAATCTAGCTATGATAAATTGGAATTTTTCCAATTGTTTATTCGAGTTACTTTAAAAATTATCGATAATTCCTAGTAAATATTATCATTTGTTTATATCTATTGATCAAAAGATCTAAGCAATTATAAATAGAAATAAAATACAGTAGTAACTTCTAAAATTAGAAAACAACATTGGAAAAAAAATGAAGATCATCCGATTACGTGACAATTGCCACACGGAATCTGGATTCGGTCGAAAACAAATCACTTTTTGAATGCCGAAATCAAAGATAAGTCGCGGTTATTTTTAGACAAGATGACAGAAAGTGTGAATGTGAGGGAGAGTCGAAAAGTCTCCGTTATTGATATGGACATACCGACGTTTTTTTTTTTTTGCGAAAAGCCAATATAGGGACACCCACGTAATCGTAAACATCAATCCTGGATGTGACACGACATGTAAATGGTTTTCTTTTTCACCACAACTAGATTGAATAAATATTTGCTGTTTATTACATTTTCATCTGAGCACGAGAAAAAAAAAGTTTTTTTTATTCGTTGTTGTTGTTACGTCCCTCGAGAGTTAATTAAATCTGTTTACCGGTATGAATCCATGTGGATACATAATACATTAATGGAACGGTTTGTGGATAACCGGGAAAAGTTTAAGAACAGAATTAATTTCACGTGGAAAACGTTTTCCGAGGATTTAACTCGATGTTCAATTTGCAGAGGAGGCTCTGCACGTGATTGTGATTTTTTCCACTTTCCAAAAATAAATTACGTAACGATTGTTTATTCTTCTTTGGGTCAATTTAACATTAATTTCAACAATTCAAAAATTACGGTTGGATTACGTAGTTAGTTTAATATTGAACATTATAATGAAACACAACTATTAAATCATTTATAAAAATCTATATTTAGAATTGTACAAAAGTAGTAGTAGCTTTGACATTCTTATTACATCAAAACTTAGTCTTAAAACTCTTAAAAATGACTCCTAAATATTATAATACATGAAAATCTGAATTTTCTCGAGAAATGTTAAGTTGACAAATATAAAGACAATAATATATTTTTGAAGAAATTTTAAACCATTTTCTTCAGATTATAAACTATTACTATAAATTTTTTTGTATTTTTATTGTCATAACACTTAAAATTTTAATTGAAATATGTTCAAATTGAAACTTCTATAATATTTATTTTAAGAAATATAATAAGTTGCAAATATTTAACTCATAATTCAAAATAAAATGTAGGATACTATTACCAAAAGAATTGCATCCCTTGTGGGGATCGAACCCACGACCTTTGGATTAGAAGTCCAACGCGCTATCCGCTGCGCCAAAGGGACGATGTTTTTCTTAAGATCCAAACATTAAACGAAAGAAAATTGAGATTTTGCATAAAAAAGGGTTGAATATAATATTATCCCATTAAATTACGTGAAGAAGTACATATTAAATTACGTGAAGAAAGACATAGCTTGTCAGAAAATCACTTGATAATTTGTGAAAGTCTATATGCTTAGATTTTGGTTAATTAATGTCAAAATTGAGAGTGACATTGATTGCTTTCCCAACTCGATATTAATTTTAAAACATTTATTAAAAATAATTTCTAGAGCAAAGAATCTTAACAGCGCAACTTCCTTAAGTTGATAAAGTTCATAACAAATACTTATATTAATCCATTAAATATTCAGTTTTTCATAAACGTATGTTGTATTATATTTTATATTAAAATACATAAACAGTGTATATTCTTATATTAGATTCTTCAAGGTCGCATTTCTAACTGGTTTCTACGAATCTGTTGTGTATTCTTATGTAGTGGCGTCAAAGATTTTATGCCTTTTAAAACTAAAATTCGTTGACCACGGAGGTCTTGTATAAGCAAAGTTTTATGTGTAAAGAATAAGGCGGATATATCCGCCACACGTAAACAGTCAAAAACACGGAATCGAAGTAAAATAAAGCAAAAATATTTTTTAGTTTAAACACAACGTAATGTAATGCATCAAAACACAATAATCTAGAACGTGAATATTAAACAATGGACAAGTAAAATGACAATATGTGCCGGTGTTTAACACCGTTAGAGTTGAGGACAATCAAAACAATAAGAAACCAAACAACAAGATAGAATTATGCGGAGTTTGAAACTTCTAATTAAATTTTGTATACATTCTGCTCCGTTATCAAAGCACAAATATCCAAGAAAATAGAGCGTACACATAAAGGAAATTATACAAATTAATAATTCTCATTACTTTTTTTTTGTCATCTAAAATTAATTAGTTAATTAATTAACCTGTCCTCACTTTTATACTATCACAATGAATTGGAATACAATGAGATTTTCAGATAGAATAATCTATGTAACAAAAACATGTTTTTGTCATCAAATTGTTTGTGATTTGAGAATAAAAATTAATAATTTTATAATGAATTTGTTAATGAATTAATCTTTTGCTCCCATTTTCTACTATCCAAAGTAATTGGAATACAATGGAGCATTCAGGGTTTTAATTAAAATAGTAATCTCTGTTTGTTTATGTAACAAAAACATGTTTTTGTCAATACATTGCATGTGTTTTGACAGTGCGTTTTGTATTGAAAGGAATATGCACTAACGTAATGAAATTTTATGTGTTTTCCAAAAATTCGCTTTTAAATAAACTTTTGTATATATTTATTTTAATTTTAGGAATGTTTCGAGGGATAAAATGTGTTTCTTGTTTTGGAGTTGCAGGTGAAATTAAGTGCTTTAAGGATCCTTATAATATTTCTTCGCAACGTCGCTTCTGTTCTTCGTGCAAAATGTAATTTTATTATGAATTTGACTAGAAATTGTACAAATGATAACGATAAGAAGATGAATCAATTAATGTTTTGAAATAGATATATTAATTAAACACTTTTCTTTATAAATGTTTATAGTAACATTAATTGACTATTGAAAATACAGAAATCGTCTCCTTTCTGTTGTGGTTATATTGTCCTGAGTTGATGAAGAGTTCTGATCACCCATTCAAGTAGTATGTATTGTTTAACTATTGTAATCAAGTATGTATCAAATGTTTGTGGTTTGGGTGTACTTAACGTTATAGTTACATCAATTAGTAAGTCTGTAATGTTCATAGATGGCGGGAACGTTCCGTATACTAAATACAGTGAAACCTCGCTTAACAAGTTTAATCCGTTCCAAAATTTTCGGATATTAAAAAATACACATAATATGTGTACACAAGTTTTAAAAATGATGTAGAAGGCGCGCAATCCGGGACATCTCTTCTCATCGTCACTCGTTATGCGAAACGTTGCTTGTTAAGCGAGTCATTTTTCTTACAATTCATTTGCTCGTTATGCTCGTTAAGCGAGGTACATTGGAACCTCGCTTAACGAGTAAAAATCGGGAAATTTTGGAATGGATTAAATTCGTTAAGCGAGGTTCCACTTTATTAATATTTGATATACTTTAAATAATATATATTGAGCTTGATTGATTGAATAGTAATTAGTTGGGACGCGTTTAGGGACTGTTCGTCAACTAGTATTTACCCCTTTTTGTCCTTCGTCCCCTAGTGAAAACGGAGGATTTTAGACTTACATTCAGGATGGATTATAGAATCAGAGGGGTCCCATACATATGTATGTCGAAGAGGATGAAGCATGCTAACGTATTACCAAAGAAGAAAAAGGAAAAGAAGACGTGCCCGGTGTTTTGTGGAGATGAATCGAAGGATCTCCTCCACGGAGCGAGGAAGGAAACGAAGAAAATGAAACGCGACGCAGGAATTCCGATCACAATAGGACCTTATCCCGTACAAAAGACTGCGGAAATCCGTTGCGAGCTTAAAATTCCGTCGACGCTCTCACAGACTGACTTTAATGCACACCCGAAATCCAGTCATCCGACCTGACGGAATCATCGCATCGGATTACTTCCACCGCCTCCGCCCCCACGCAAAACAAGATACAAATAAACAAAAAAAAGAATTCACATCAAGCCATCCCTTGTGGGGATCGAACCCACGACCTTTGGATTAGAAGTCCAACGCGCTATCCGCTGCGCCAAAGGGACTATGTGAAAAACTTTCGCAATAAAATTTGCGCAAATCGGACCACTCGAATTTGCACAAATTTGCGATGTACATCTGCGCTCAATGAATTAATGTTCACGGTGATCGTGAAACTTTGAATGAACGAGTAAGTTTCCGCTGAATCCTGTTGGCGACGACTCGAGCGCCATCGTTTAGAGACGAACTTAGTTTTATCATAACATTGTAAAGATAACACTGTGATGTGATAGTTTTTATGCTCGAATAAATATTTATTTTGTTTGCCTTCCTGGAATGCGAATCTCCCGAAATACATATGCTTTTTGACGAAAACAGAGAATTGTAATAATAAGTTTATGGAAACGTTTGTCGTTG